AAAAACGATCCAGCATACATTTCAACAAGGGTCAGCAAGAGAAGTGAGAAATTAGCCCCCAAACATAATTTCTAGCATTTAAAAAAAACGATATCCAGCATGTATTTCATCAAGGGGCAGCAAGAGGAGTGAAAAATGAGCCCCCAAACATAATTTCTAGCATTTAAAAATGATATCCAGCATGTATTTCATCAAGGGGCAGCAAGAGGAGTGAAAAATGAGCCCCCAAACATAATTTCTAGCATTTAAAAATGATATCCAGCATGTATTCTATCAAGATGCAGCAAGATAAACTAAATATGGGCTCCAAAAATAATTTCCAATTCATAAAAAAAATGATTTCCAACATAAGAACAAAACCGGGCCCATCAAATGGCTAAAACAGCAAAGAATTCAACCAAGACGTGCTATCAAAAGGAACCAAACCTAACACACCAAGTAAGCTAAGTAAAATGCAATTTTCAGCTATCATGAGGCCAAGACTGAGCCCTCCAAAATGTGTTAAAACATAGAAAATTTTCCAGCTAACATTTGATCCCAAGGAACTAGACTCGGGCCCACCATATGGGCCAAAACAGATCCTCCTTGCAACATCAAAACCCAAAATTTGCATTCAATATGTGTGCTTTGAACAGGGACAGGCAACAGAAAGCAGAATAACATAAGTAAGATCTTAAACCATCTTTCTTTTTTTTTTCTTTTTTTTTAACAAAATCATTCCCCCTTTTTTAACAATAAATTGCTTCAGCAAGGAGCAAAGAAAGAAAGCCAAAATTTTCAACATATGTTTCAAATAATAATAGGTAGCATGAGATAGATAAGCATGAGCCAACATCCATTTAGAACATGAGTAGTAAAGACCTTTGATAACTCATTCTAATATGCATTTCTAGAGGAGCAAATCTCTTTTCAAAACTAGCATTATGACATTTCCAAATATCTCAAGCAAGAAAAATAAAGGCAGCCTATACATGCTCTATTCAGATTTTTCTAGGAAATATTCATGCTTAAATTTCAAAAAAAACAAACCCGAATCTTGCTTTCACATGCTTTAAAAGAGACGAGAAATATTTTTATGTCATCCAAAATAGTGCAAAATAGAGGAAAGGAGAAGAATACCTCTTTTCAGCGTATTTAAAATAAAATTGAAATATAATTTCAAGGAGACCACTCCAAAAGAAATGTCCCTCCTAAAGGCTTCAAGAAACAACAATCACAAATGCTCCACGTCACAAGCACCCGAAAATGTAGCTTAAAGAGGATTTTCGGCAAAGTAAACAGCACTCCACGAACACTCCAAACTCCAATCACATGGGAATCAAATTTAGAGAAGATTTTAGCAGAGTTTTCTTCCCTAAAAGCCTCTCACAGTAAGAACACAGCCTCTCCTTTTTCTCCAAAAATTTTCAAAAATCCTCAAGCCACAGAGGATGAAAAACAAGTAAGATTGAAATTAGAGAAGATTTTGGCAGCACCTCCCCACTCTCATAAAATTTCGGCCAGCATCTAAATCTTCCCCCAGTGGGATTTTTAAAGCAAAGAAAAGAGGAAGGAGAAGCCACCTACCAGCCTCCCTAGCCAACGAATCACAAAGAAGAAATGAAACGAGACCATGAAGAGGAGAGAGAGGAGAGCGTTCAGCCTCGAGGAAGAGAAGCGTCGGCCAGGTGGAAACCCTCGATTGGAGACTCGCTCGGTCAAGCAGAGATCGAAGAGGCTGCGTGTGGAGACTCGCTCGGTCAAGCAGAGATTGAAGAGGCTGCGTGCGTATGCGAATCGTAGAGGAAAGAAGAAGAAGCTCGGGCTCGGCGAGAGGAGACGCGGGAGCTAGGGCACGGGCGAGGAGAAGTCACGCCACCGGAAGTCGTTTTGACGAATTCATCGATTTGAGTGTCAATTTTCTCGTGTAGAAAGTATGGCAATATGGGTGTCCTTTCCTACCAAAATGGGTATCTCGGACGCGTTGGCGTGGTTCAATTTGTCGTCGGAGGTCATCCGGAGAAGTTCGCATTTTCACCCGTCCTTTGGGCTTAATTAAAGTCCGATTTCGTGTAATTATTGGACACCCCTTTTAGGTAATTTCGACATTCCGGCGCAGTCTGTTTCGTCCGTTTCGCCGTCGGAAGTCGTTTTGACAAATTCATCATTTTGCATGTCAATTTTCTAATTTTCTCGTGTCGAAAATATGACGTGTCGAAAATATGACAATATGGGTGCCCTTTCCTACCAAAATGGGTACCCGGACGCGTTGACGCTGTCCAATTTGTCGTCGGAGGTCAAATTTTCTAAAAGGGTGAGTCTCAATTCTAGCTTTCTAAGATGGTCAATAGGAATTTCTAGAGCTAGAATCTAGGCTCTAAGGAGGAGAAGACAATACCTCACAAAAATGAGGTCAACATAAACATGGGAAAAAGAGTGGCAACAATAGTACCTATGACACAACGTCGCTACCTTTACAGCAGCTACAATTGCCATCCACCAAAGGATAAAAAATTCACACGCAGTGTTCTCTACCATACTCTTCACACCCGAAACCAACCACTAGCCTCACCAAATGTTAAACCAAAAAAAATATTTCCAAAGAGCACCTCCTGAAAGGAGTTTCACCCCTCAGATTTCAATAGAAACATATTATCTAAAAACTACATATTATGGATGCATCCTTATTATTCTCATATTCACCATAAAAAAATTTGCGCTTGTGGATTTCGATCTTATCATTCAATACAAATGTGATGATGACAGTGATTCCAATTCTTATACTAAAATATGTAGATCATCCCATGACAATGTTGGGTATGACTATGCAGAATTGTAATTCAAGATCTCATAAGTTATTTTCTAATGTATATAGCTTTGATGATCAATTTTCTCATCATAAAAAATTTCAGAAGTTATCATCTAAAAAAAATTTCTGTGATGCATTTAGCTATACATTTTCAAAGAAGGTTTTCCTCCGTCCTCATGCAAACCACTACACAAGTTGCACATATTCCTTAGGCGCCACAAATATTAGAACTGTTTATGGTTAGAAGTACGCATAACTTTATGATTTGTCCGTCTATAATGAAGGCTTTTATGGATACTTATGATGAAACATCTCTTATTGATCATGAACTACTTTCAAAATAATTATAAATTACAACCAATTCAATCTATTATCGTCTTAGTATAGTATGAGATACTATCAAACATGAAGTCAAATGTTATGTCTAATGAAGTGCCAAAACATTAAGTATGAGATAGCCTTTCCAAAAGAATTATTGTATACAGCATTAAGATACATTTCGATGTACCAGAGTCTAGAATTGACTTCTCCAATTTCCTATAGTGATATCTTCTTTGTTTCACTCGTCACAACCCTAGGATATATACACAACATCAGATGTTTACAATCTGTTTCAATCACCTAATAGAGATTAATTTTTGGTGTCATTGCCACCGTCGTCGTCTAGTCCACTATCAATCCAAATTACAAAGATCCACAAATATATAGAGTTTTGAGTGACCTAAAATCCAAGCCTTAAAAACGTGTTTCTTTGTTCTTACTACTATTACTCGCTAAACTTCATGATTGCCCCTTCCATTTGATAATCAAATAGAGCTAATCCCAAAGCTCTTTAGAGAAGAGCAAACTATAGATTAGGTGAATTGATGCGGTAAAATAGATATTGGTTGATCACTTAGCCAATTTAACCTACAAAGAACCAAATTCTCAAAGGCCAATCATAATGAGTCAAACCAGGCTAACAAAAGAATTGAATCAAGCACTTATAGACCTTTTTTTTTTATCAAATTTTAAATTAAATAAAGAAAAGGATGATCTTAACTTAATCTAAGGTAATAAATGCAGACAATGTCACCTTTATCTAAAGGTTTATTTCCTTTATAAAAAAGGATTATTTAGATTATTATGGACTAATGAATGATTTATTTAATTGGGCAAATTATACTTGTCTGCTTCTTTCTCTGTTGCTTCAAGTTTTGTATGTGCGTCGCTCCAATTTTTGTTTATGGAACTTAACTTCATTGTTTTCTCTTTCTTTTTATTCCATTATCCTCCTTTTTTCAGTGATTCCCACTATATTATTTGACATTAGAGTTTTGGTCTACCTCTCCATCATATAATATTAGAGCATTAATTTGCCCCTTCACCCCAAATATGTGCCCAACCTTATTCTATAAAACTTGCACCAAGATGCTTCATGAGCAAGCAGCCTCTTTGAGATGGAATAAGGTCATCTTCGGGCTCTAAGTCTGAATTTTAAGAAAGTAAGAGCTCAAATGAAAATAATGTGATGCCCAGTTAAGAGCATAATGCCGACAATATACACATACGGAAACCTAAAACCTGAAAGAAATAAATTTTGCACCAGGTCACAACCAAGTTGACCAAGACCAATTGTTGGTCCTTTTTGCAGGCAAAAATTGCAAAAAATGAACTTTGGAGTACAACAATGTATTTAATAAAGTCCATAGGCAAGACAAACATAATTCAAACTTAATCAAAATTGTTTATGGAATAAATATGCTGCAAGCTTCTATTTTTTGCAATGTACTTTTTTCCAAATCAAATACAAGGAAAAATCATCTGGGAGACATTGCCAAGCAAAATGAGAGGCAGTTTACTCGAGAAATAATGGCTAAATGTCCTCCATATGCTTCAAATCACAAGGAAAAAAAGATGCTTAATGCATTACCATGATTACTTTTATGTTCTCTTCCTATGCGTTCACAGTATCTATTTCTAGACATGTTGTAGACCATTAAGCCATATGCTGAAAACCAATACCAGCTTTGGATTTTCCCTGCAACAGAAGAAAATATTGTCATAGAGCATAAGAAATAATCAAAAACATAAAAAAAAAGTTGAGCATTTATACACTATTTTTGTCCTAAAAGTCAGAAAGTACTACGGTAACGAAAAATAATCAATTGCATAGTAATTGTTATTTAGGTAGTAAATATATCTCCAACAGACTAAAAGAAAAAAAAAATTAAGATGGATGAAAAATAAAGAGCAGCAGATTTGAGATGTAAGCAAACTTCACCTAGCCTGGTCAAAATAGAAAACAAAATATTGAATTGAATCGACAGCCTATAAGTTAGTGGAGCTAAGTGGGACCTAAGCCTTCACATAACACAACCGATAAAAAAAATCTCATCGATGTAAGCAAGGAGATACTTAATTGAAGATGGAAGAAAAATGAAAGGAATCAGCGCCGAAAGTGTTTTTGCTCCAATGAAACTATGATTTTAAAAAAAGGGTTCTCAGCTTGTATTGGTGAGATATTTGGCAGAGAGAGACAGGTAGATTGACGCAGGTGCGTTGTCGTTGCTGGCTGAACCGGCCAACACTTAGGCCGACTAGACCGGTCTGGACAGGGGCTGGTTGGACCGGTCCCTACTCCAGCACATTTGAGTGGGATTTAATCCCGTGATCTCCTCTTCATATTTGAGGCCCTGGAACTGCCGCTTCCCTCCTCTTCCTATTTGATTCTTGCCATAAGAGAACTCCTTCCTATCTTGCATCCCCTACCTTCATAGTTTTTTCCTCCACCAAGTCTGCCTCTTTTGTCTACTAACTTCAATTATAAATGTGTGTTTGTTTACCTAGGTTAGGGGAGTTGATTGATTTTTGAATTCAGATTGTCGTTGTCGGCGTTGTTTCCTTCGACGATTGTATTTGAAAGCGAGGATGTGCTCCGACTGTCCCTCTTCCTAAGTGGTCACTGTCTCCAAGGGACTAGGTGGTGCTGAAACTGTAGCTCGACTCCGACGATGCATTTATCTTACCATACTTCCATTTCCCTACCGCCATTCCATCTTCTAGCCGCCGCCACCCCTTCCTTCCCACTGTCAGTCACCTGCCTGCTCTCATCTAGCCACCACAACCCCTCTTTCACTGTTGTCAACCCCACTGCTTCCAACGGGACTCCTTCCAATCGTTGTCTTCCTCGTCGACCACCCCCCTGCAGTCCTACCTGCTCTTCCCAGCAGTCGTCCAATACTCCAACTCTCTTACTGTTGTCTGCAACCACGGCCCTCTCCCACCGCTGTCTGCCACCTTTTAGGCCACCTCCAATAACCGCAACCCTCTTCCAGTGGTCAGCAGCCCCTCCTACCACCACCATCTCGCAGACTTCAGCCTCATTGTCACCCGTCGACGTCTTTATTTGTTTGGAGTCGTGTTTGTTTGTCGGTTATTTTCTGCTTTTCAAGTACCGTGTTTCAAACTCTTTCAGTTCAATAATACTATTTGTGTTTTGGGTTGGGGTGTGGGTACTTTTCCTGCACAATTTGGTATCAGAGCAAGCCCAACTCTAGTCCATTCCTAGAGTTTCCTAACATCCGCCATAACCCACAAAATTTCTTGCTATCAACGAATACACTTTCCACTACCACATGCTCCTAAGCTTAATTCCCCTCGCTGATTTTTTATAATCAGCAGTCTTGACTCAATTATTTTTACCCTCTTTCACCTCCACTAAAAATGTTTCCATCTTATTCCTAAACCCTAACCATACCACCAAGGAGATCTATGCTCGAGCCTACCTCCAACGAGATAGGGCGAGAACTCTGTTGTCTTCGAAGGAGTCTTATGGATATTGAAGAGGAAATCCGGTGGGAGGTTACCTTCGACCATGATCTAGAAGGTCGAAGGGAAGAATAAGAAAATATAAAGATGAAATAGGAAAAAAAACACCATTTTCTACAAACTTACTACCGCCAAAAGTTACAAATTTTACCTTACGAAGTGGAGAGATCGCATCACTAAGCGACGCACCTTTGCTACTATCCAACGAAACCAATCCACAAGTTTGTCACAGCCAGAAAATGTTGCAAGTGCCAAGGATTTAAACATATTTAAGCAAAATGCACAACCAGAGGAGTAATTTACTTCACTGAGTAGGGCGACAATGAAAAGTTGGGTAAAGACGCCGCGGACACTGAAGAGTAATTCGAATGAAAATTTCATCCGATGACGTCTTCCCCTGTAGAACTCCCTTGTTCGTGGATACATCCAATGTCTTTCCTCCATGTGATCAAAAGAAACATGCGACTTTTGATGACATTATGGAGGAGATTGTGAAATAGAAAATGGAGAACTTTTGGTTGAGACATATAAACATCATGCAAACAAAATGATGTCAAAATTTAAAATTTCAGTTGATGGTCTTAGTAACGAACAATTGATAGCATCACACGCGGCTACACTTCCAGCCCTCGTCCCAATATGAAGAGACAAAAGAGCAGTGCTAAGCTCTTGTTATTAGAATACAACAGAAGATGTCACTTCATCAAAAATTCAAGAGTCAGAGGAAATAGCCAAAAGTAAATAAAAATCACTCATCAACCAAACTCTTGCAAACCCTCAACCTCGATGAGACCCAACTTGTAATTAGATGAGAAACATATGAGATATTTACTTGTTCAGAATTTGGCTCGGGAGAACCTACGTTGTTTTGTACCTCTGGCTCAAATTATGCTAAACTAGAACTGTAAAAGAGAGAGAGAGAGAGAGATGAGATAAAGCTAAAGTAAGTATGAAGAAGTGCAAAGGTTGGAAGCAGAAAGAAGGGGTATAAGAAAAATTGATGCAAAAAAATTTTCTTTTTTCATTCATTAAACAATAACCTAGGGCCAACTATACATGGTAGCAACCATCAATTCATAATGACACCATTCTAGAGTCCCTAGAAGGTGTTTATGGATCTGAATTAGTGGGGAGGAGACTATGAAATAGCAAGAGAGAAATAATAAGTGAGGTTGACATAGTTTGGAAAGGGTACAGGATGTTTGGTGGCTGTCCAAGCTGAAAACAGATGTGAGAACCACGATATGATAGTCCCGACGAGGCACGGCTACCTAGAGAGATCCACCACCACCTTTCGCAAACAAGCCATAGACACATTACTAGCAAAAGAAAGAGGGTACATCATCTTTAAGGCAGTAAGAAAGCATGCTGGCTATTTTTACATTAAAGGTGATTAATTTTTGTTGAAGTTCAGAGTAGACAACTAACAAACAGTAATTTTGTGTGTTTTTAGTCTGCATCTTATCTCAAATTGCATCAGTGAATCTTAGACTTTAACTACGCTGCATCACCAAAGCTCAATGGCACTGGCTAACTTTGGGGTCATGGAGGAAAGACACAAGCAGTCTTAACATTGTGTTAGCAAAGAAGTTATCACAATGTTCAAGCAAATGAATTTTTAAGTTACAATAGCAGCAACAACATTAATACATGAAAGGTGGTGATATATACAACAGCTAGGTTAACCCCAGCCCCCGCACTTGTGTTCTCCAAGCCCACAACCTTTTATTTCAATGGGCACTATCTCCAATCACAATATATCTGTGACCACGATACAGCCATAGAATCGAGAAAATGCATAATCATTGGAAGAAAATGTAAGTAAATGCAAGGATACCTGAAGCATTTCCAATTGACGCAATGGATTCCACAAAAGCGTCCAAAGCAGGAAATGGTGATCTCCCTGAAATGTAACTGATAGTAGTGTCACTGCCATGATGATTGGAATCAAAATCCCCGGGAAAATTGCGAGGTTGTGCATGAACCTGGCAAAATAATAATTAAATAAAAAACATGCATCTTGAATTTATCTCATATGAATGATTTTTTTTGTTGGATAACATTTAGACAAAAGCAAAAAACTATAATAAAGTTATTGAATACTGTATGAGAACGTTGAAAGCACACAACCATATTAAAATAGTTTACAGAATATCAAAAGATTAACAACTGAAGCTAATCACAATAATTAAGGCTGACTGACTAACAACTGATCAATTAATTCCAAAAGATTTGGTCAAATGAACCAGTAAAGAAGAAAGAGCCATCATTTTGAAAGAAAATATAAACTCAGCAATGGGGGCAGAAGCAAGCAGTCATTTACCCTAGTCATTTCCAAGGTATCCAAACAATTCTTTTTTATTTGTTTATTTTAGAATCCTTGTGTAACATTAATGAGATAAGACGGGTGGCCAGATGACGTTATGAGGTAAATAGACAAAAAATTTAAATTTTATTTCTCTCCTTATCACTAATTCTTTTCAATGGTTTCCCAAAATATCTAAATAAATAATTGATGTATTGTGAAACTTTTTCTTTAAGTTTTCATTTTGAATCTTAGTTTGATCCGTTTGATCATGCTATGTTCATAATTGCAATTTTTACAACATTTCCTTTTACTACAGATTTTGTCAATCGTCAGCGTTAAAATAGAGAATTTTCATGGTGAACATTTTCATTACATTAGCATGTTCGTTAGAACTAGAATGTCTATGGATTTTTTGCTACAGTCGGCCATTAATTGTGATTAAGATGGTGGTTCAATTGCGAGTAAAATAATGGTTGCATATGAGTAAAGAATGTATTTTCATCCTTATTTTCTTTCCTCTCACTAGTTAAATCTCTCTCAATCTCTATTGTAAATTCGCAGGCTTCATGCTCATAACTTATGGTTTCTTCTTTTTTAACTCTTTTACCTCCTACCATCCACCCCTAGAGACTCTTATCCTTCGAACCCCCTCAATCCCTTTTCCTCTTTATCTCCTTGATTCTTACTTTATATCAGATGCTTCTCTTAGTAGATGTTTCTTTTCTTAACAAATCAAGACATAAAGCGTACGTCATAATTTTCACTTTTACTATCACTCATCATCAAATAAATATCATAGCTAAATTCCTAAGTCGAACGAGTTCTTTGCAATGAAAATTTGCATTGAAGTTTCCACATGCACTTTCTATTATGATTGACATTAAAATGTTGTCTTTCTCCTTCATCTTTATCCGTGAGACAATGATCCCTTTCCCAAAACCTTGGAGGAATTGTCCCTTCACCTTTTTTTGGGATGAAATTTATTATCTCACAGGTATGATCAAACATCTCTTATGTTTATTAATGCAATGCAAGATGCCAGCTTTTAGGCATAAGCCTCGTTAGTGAAAGTTACACATGTTTTTAAACGGTCTGTTTATTATAGTGTAGTCTCTCATAACATAGGCCGTGCCTATTGCATGTCACTTTTATATCAATTATCCTTATTTGCCGCTATGTTAAATGCGAGGGAGAAAAATAGAGACAAACTCAAGAGAAGAGGCCACCAACTTCACTATGACTTGTCAAACTTTAACAGTCTTCCTAAACTTCATCTTAATCTGGAGAAGAGCTTTGAACATTAGGTTGAGTTAATTTGGTGAGTTACGAAAATAGCTTTGGCAATCTTGATGGGTCTCTAAGCTAAATACCTCTTGGCAAAGTGCTGTGACATTTGTTGAATAACCACGGGTGACTTCAAATTAGACTTTTTTTTTTTTTTTGGTTGAATTCTCTAGCCAACTTATCTAACCCAACCTAGAGACATTCGAGCATACAATTAAAGAAATAAATTACTCTAGATAAGCATAATGATTAGAATAATCAAATATATTATAATTTGTCCCAAACAAATGAAATGAAATCAGCTCCAAAGAAAATACAGATGCAGGGACTTAATAAAATTTGGAATGATATTAATGGTTTGGTTACATTTTAATGGAATTCTAAAGACTAAAACGAAGTCAATGTATAGCATGAAAAAACATTTTGGTAACATAATTTTAAAACAAATGAGACATATAAGAATGTACAAATTAAGGAATTAAAATTCCAATCATAAAATAAAATGTGGGAGAGATCAATCAAATAAAAATTTAGAAAAAGTATGCCGAATTGGAGAATCAATTTTTAAACGTTTTGAGTGTTTTTAAAAACAGAAGGATTTATTTTTAAAATAAAAAATAAAAACATACAAAAAAAATGCATTGAATTTTCAATGGAGCATGAACTGTACGAGAACGGACAATAAAAAATAGAACCAACAAATTGCATTGACAAAAAGCTTGATTGAAATTACACAGACCTCAGTATCAAAAGAAAGAGCTTTCATGCAATCTAGATCCATTTTGCATGTCAGAAGTTTCTCACAATCTCCGTCCACTCTGCATATAAGAGATTCCAAAAACACTTGTTGTTTACTCTGTGACAAATTGCACCAAAATTAGTCAGAATAAAAGAAATACGATAATTCACATGGTATATCAATACTTGACAAGAATCATGGAAATATTACTAATTTATTTAAAGTAAAATGAAGGCGGCTTCTCACAAAAGAGTTTAACCAAACAAATTAATGGACTAAGAGATCAAATATGAATAAGACATTTACTAATTTCTTAGTGTTTTATCATTCTCTGAGAATGAAGATTGTTATTCGAAGTTGACATAATAAAGTAAAGCTAGCAGACAACAATAATTAATGGATAAAAAAACCTCGCAGTAAAAAATAAATTGATAATTCATTGTAATGGAAGAATGCGACAACGTATCTCTCCTTTAGAGATTCTTGCATCATAGTATAATATTTATTCTCATGAGGGCAAGAAAAAAAGAATTAATAAATGTTACACTTCAACAAAAATTTTGCAAAAAAATAATATTTTTAATTTAAAATTATCATAATTGTTAGGATAATATTGCTAATACTTAACTTATGCATACATAACCATCAAGCTCTCAGATTTGCCCAAATTGTTTTCAGTGTGGTGGCATTTGTCTGAAAAATAAGGAATCCTAAAATTTTGGAGGTGAAAAGGAGTAGACATTTTAAACAAATTTATTCATGCAAGAAGCTCTCATGTTGATCCATTTTCATTGATCATTTATACTTTGTTGGCGGTATTCAATGATTGATTGAATGAAGTTTATTAAGATCAAGTATTATTTTCTCTTGATAAATTCTATAGATAAATGCATACAAACTCATTTCTGTGCTCATCAGAAAATTCAATAGATACAGTGATCGAACCAACATCTTGAGTTGAATGAGAAGCTGGCAGGAAACACGTGGCATGTGGTTGACCCAAGGTGGAAAAGTTTGTCAGCATTATATATAAATATGGATAGAGAGAGAGAGAAAGAGAGAGAGAGAGAGAAAAGTGAGGATAAGAGAGATGGTGGCTTCTATTAGAGGTTGATCATAAGATCTCTGCGCAAAAGAGATATGTCACTGCGACAACAAGCCATTTATCACTAAAATGGTTAGGTGATAAGTGTTATGAGACTTGAGGCTGGCGATAATAATTTTGTAAATAACCTTAGAAGATTGATATGCAAACATTGATTGCAATTTAGGGTCTCCAGTTAAGTGGGCCGCCGAAAAATAAATTGTAGAGAAACAAGAAAACTAATCAAAATTGCCACCAAAAAATTGCCACTTTATCCTACATGGCTCTACTAAGAAAACCTAGGAATTAGTTATTTTTATAAATTAGTTCCTACCATCTAGATTCTTTTGACTTTGAATAGAGTACAATATATTTCTTTTTAACTAAATTCTTAATCTTTCTTTGAATTCTATAATATATATATCACATTTGAGATGTAAAATCAAATATGGCCTGAATGAAAAATTCATTTTACACGAGCGGTTTTCAACTAAAATAAAATCAAAGAAAGAAAATACAGAGCTAGTAGCTCTTTTTGCTCAAAATTTTTGTATAACTGTTTGAAGGGGTTGTAGAATAAATTGGCATTATATAAGAAGACCTGGGGTGAATTGACTTGCAACTTGATTTGGCACTTCGCGAGTTCATGTATCCATCCCAGGCTGTATGTTACTCGAGATTGCAACATGCCAATGACTGATTAAATGTTCGATGCACTAATCCCATAATTGTAGGGTGTGTTTTTTTAATAAAAACAAAAAAAGAACTGAACCGATCTTGTTTGATTGGTTAGTAGGGTACGATTGTCAAAGTATCAGTTCGGTCCTTGATTGTGATTTTGATTTTCTTTGATTTTGGTTTTTGATTCGGTTTTTGCTTCTATAAAACCAAAGAAAACAAAAGTCAAATTATACTAACTTTTTTGAATGTTAAATCAATAAGCCATGTAAATAAATGACATAAAAATTAATATGGATATTATTTATTCCACATTTCAAATATATAAAGTTTAATAAAAATTAGTCACATTCATATTAATAAATATTATTTAAGATAATTAAAATTGATTAATTATTATAATTAATTTATTTTGGTTCATCTAAAATCAGACCGAACTACCCAAAGTTTGATTTGAAAATTAGATTTAATCGATTAGTTTTCTTGAAAATTATGACCGAAACCAAATTATTTAGCTAAATCATAAACCAAATCATCCAAAACAACTAAATGCATACCTCAAAAGCTTTTAATATTTAGTGTTAGTGAAATAAGGTTAACTGCGATGATTACATATTGCCTATAGATGAATTGCATAAAATCATGCATTTATTAAATGGCTTTCCAAAGATTAATTGTATAAAATCATAATCATACAAATATTAAATGGCTTTTCATGGACTCGTGGTTCTTCTGTGGTTAAGATAAATGTGAAACACCAATTCGAGAGATCCAGAACAAAATACTTGAACAACAACACACAAACAAGTAATTCTAGAAAAATATGCAGAGCACGCTTTAACGTGAAAAATCCCGAGAACGGGAAAAAAATATGGAGTCAAACACCACTCCAAGAAATTCACGATAAAATGAGAAAAAATTGTACAGATTACAAACTCAAGCCTCTCTACCCTTTTGAAACTCACAAACGCTCCCTCTTTTCTCTTTTGCACAAAAGAACCCGTACAAATCCAACACCAATTGAAACACCACTTCAAACTATATGCACACACCTATCGCAGCAAAGAAAAAAAGAAATTTAAAGTCTCAAACTGCAAAAATCGGTTACAAGCGTCTAGGGAGTTGGGTTTCCGAGCGCTCTGTTCCGGAATTCTGGAAACAAGTCTTCTGGCATCTAAGCGCCCCTACTGGGAACGAGCTTCCACCTGACAAGCTTTGGTTGGGTGCCTGGGCGCCCACTGACACTGGGGAACCTGCTTTGGCGCTAGGTGTCACGATCTGGTCCGGAGTTTTGAATTAATGATGATAGGAAGGAATGGCTCGAAGGTGGAATTAAATTTTCTATTATTATATTTCTACCACTAAGTTTAATATCCACATATTAATTGTAAAGAGCCACTAAAATGTATAATTAAAATAATAAGCAAAAAATTTACCATTTTTGTTGTTGATCCAACATTTTGTAAATATTAGCTCATTTAGTTTTGTTTTTATTCAAAAACTTAAACCTAAAAAAATATTAAAATGACATAATAAGTTATCTAAGATAACACATGAGCAATCACATTTCTAAATTACAGTAACCCAAAAAAAAAAATAATATGCATGTTGCTGGTCTTTCATATTTCACTACAGAAGAACTTATAATAATTTAATGTGTCCATGACATTTATCCAACTGAAATAAATTAAATTTCGACATGCATTAACTTTAACTGTACTCTTTAAGGTTTAATCTTTAAATTTAATTTTTTACTTCATGCTACACATCTATATATGAGCACTATCAAAACATAATCTAACACATCCCTGATCGATATTATCATGTCAGTACAACGACTCGTAATCTAATTTACGACCAATAATCCTCAAGTAATGAAACATGATAGCTAAAATTACATCTAAAGTTGTGCAACATAACTAGAACAACACTAAACTTCAAAAAATCAAAATACATATACTCAACAAAAGATAACTAAGACTACACCTATTGGACAAATAATCCATCAATCTGTATGCATCAACAACAATGGCAAAAGGTTCTTCAGGTTCCTGATGAGTTAAGGAAAAGACCCTTGATCAAATATTCTGGCTTGGTTGCTCTTTATGAGTCACTATACCAGCTTTTTTTGTCATAAGCTGACAAGTTCTATAAGTAGATTTCTCCTAAAAATTCCGCTAAGTAGAACCCTTTCCTGAGTTAGCATTTGGTATGGATCTCTGAGTAGAATTAGGACAGTTCCTCATATAATTTGAAGATTGTATGTATAAGTAACATCCCTTAAAAACAAAAAGGCATTCTCCAAGATGTTATTTCCCACATTTAACAAAGGGATCTGTAGTATTGCTACCAACCTGGCCAATAACTCCATCAGCATATATTCTCATTAGACTATCCAGAATGAACTATTGACACTTCTTATAAGTTCTTCCTCTTATGTGTTTTTACACTTCTGAGTCTGCTGAAAACCAATCTCCACCCGTCTACCCCTCTCCCCTAGCACTGAATTGTAATTAATCCCAAGTAGCACTAGTGGCTGTCTGATTGAATCCTTCAAACCAAATAAAACCTATGACACTTCTCCTCGACATTTGGAACCAACAAGGTTGCATCCCTTGAAAGCATAGTAAATTATGACTCGTACTGCATTATCGAACAATCACCTTGTACTAGCCATATAAACTTGCATCCATCCGTCTCTTGGATAACAGTGGTACGAACTTAACGCTAAAGGTTGTCGCAAACTCTTTCCACTACACCAAATGTCTGATTCTACCTCCAAACTTTTGCATTTGTCCTTGCCACCATAACTCAGTTTCTACGTCAAAGACAAAAGAGGCAAGTATAAACATTCTTCCAGATAAACAAGACAACCCATCTATAACCTTCTCCACTCATTAGCCATTTCTCAACCTCCATTGGACTTCCACCTCCAAAAAAGAGAGGTGACCTCATATCCTGAAACAACTCCAGATATTTGTCCATTTGGCCTCCTTTACTAATAATAGCTTGAGATCGAGAATTCCTAATCATTTGAGTCACTGCAATCATGATGTCAATAAAAGCATCAGTACTGACAGTAATATTATGAGACATCTCAATTTCTACAACATCTGTGATATCTTTTTCCTGATCCATAATTCTAAAATAACGGTAAATCAATCTAATTAGACTCAATTTATATTCTTTATAACTTAATTCAATTCTCCTAATGACTCTTTCATTAAGATTTATGTTATTTAATATAACCTTAGTCTGATACAACTTTTTCCATGACACGGCTCAAAACTTAAAATTAATCAATACGGGAATAGACTGTCAGATGGTAGATTAATTTTTTATTATTCTATTTCTA